AGGTACGGGCCCTTAGCGGGAACCGAATGCGGGACTCTCTGGTCCGCGGGCCGACGCTCTAACTGCTGAGCCAAACTGGCCAGGGAGGACATGCCATTTTTTATCTGATTGTTTCTAGCTTATTCTTCCAAGTTTTTCATTTAGCACCTAACCTTAGAAAACTCATAGTTAATTTAAAAGACACCCTAGAGTAGCAGGAAGATAGTTAAACTAGGAGTCAATAGAAATGGGCTTCCATTTGGGGCTTAGCCAGTCTTTGTGAGAACCATAAGAACCACAGTCAGGCAGTCTCTCCAAACCTGTTTCCTCATCAGTGAAATGAGGCTAACACCTGCACTGCCTGTCTGATCTTACAGAGTTGTAATAAACATTAAGGAACACAGGGAAGGATTTTACAGATTAAAACACCACTGCACAGAATGGTGGTTACTGCACAGAATGGTGGTTACTGCACAGAATGGTGGTTGTTCGTTCCTTTAGAATTCTGAAGTTACTGATGAGTATGTAGAGCCTGTGGTTTTAGAGTTCTTTGACAGTGAGTAGTTGTTTTGAATAAAAGAGGTCATAAGAAACAAGTGAGTAGAAATAAAACTCTTGAGATCCTGTGTTGTGTTTTAACCCAGGATGTGAATTGAAATTAACCCTCATCATTGTACCACCAGTAGCAAAACTGAGTTGCTTTGAAATTCTTCTGAGACTGTTAGTGTATAAGACAATGTGACCTAGAGGGATCATCCTGATTCTTTTTGGAATCAGTTGGGAATTCAAGTTACATGACAGAGTATCCAAGAACTAATATCAGTGTGTATATATGGTTTTATTTATCATGAAAGTACAGTTGGTCCTTGAGCAACACAGGGATTAGGGATGCTAACCATCTGCACAGTTGAAAATCTGTGTATAACTTTTGATTTCCCCCAAATTTAACTACTACTAGTGGCCTACTGTTGACTGGAAGGATTATTGATAATATAAAGTTGATTAACATATTTCGTATATAATTTGTATGATATACTATATTCTTGAACTAGAGTAGGCTAGAGAAAGGAATGTTGTTAATATCATAAGGAAGAAAAAATACAGTGTTTATTGGAAAAAAATCCACATGAGTGGATCCACAGTTCAAACTTGTGTTGTTGAAGAGTTAACAATAAACCTTCAGTAGAGGCTAGTAGTATGAAACAGCATTCTTCTAGGAATTGGCAGACCTCTGTGGATTCCAGATGGAAAAGACTTCCTTAGAGGGTAACTAAGGTTAATTATTTTGACAACAGTTTTGTTTGCAAAGCCAATCTTTTTTTTTTTCGTCCTCACCTGAGGACATTTTTGCATTTATCTTCAGATAGAGCAGGAGGTAGAGGGGGAGGAAGAGAGAGAGAGAGAGAGACATCGACTGGTTGCCACCCACACGACCCCAACAGGAGCCCAGGACAAACCGCAACCGAGATACGTGCCCTTAGTGGGAACCGAACCCTAGTCTCTCTCGTCTACAGGCTGACGCCCTAACCACTGAGACAAACTGGCCAGGGCTTTATTGATTTTTTTTTAGGGAGAAAAAGAGATAGAAACATCGATCAGCTGCCTCCTGCACACCCCCTACTGGGGATCAAGCTCACAACCTGGGCATGTGTCCTGGCCAGGAATTGAACAGGGACTTCTCAGTCCATGGGATGACGCTCAATCTACTGAGCCACACTGGCTGGGCAATATTCCATTGTTTGGATATGCCACAGTTTGTTTATACATTCATTCACTGATGGACATTTGGACTGTTTCTAACTTTTGGCTATAATGCTGCTTTGGACATTCATGTACAGGTTTCTTGCAGACATACAATTTCATTTTTCCAGAATCTATACCTAGTATTAGAATTGCTGGCTCATATGATAATTTTATGTTTAACTTTTTGAGGAACCACCAAACTGTATTTCATAGCAGCTATACCGTTTTATATTTCTGCCAGCAGTATACAAAGCTTCCAATTTCTCCACATCCTGACCAACACTGATTTTCTGATTTTTTATTAGTCATTGTCAACTGAAAAATAATATCAATCTGGTATTTCATCACCAAAAAGGATTTATTCAAGATAAAAAAGGATTTCAACCCAGTGCATGCAGACGTGGCAAACCAGGTGCACTCTCTGACCTGCTTGCCAAGTTGTAGGGGTATTTTTAGAAGGGAAAAGGGAGTTAAGGGAAGGGGAAATTAGAACCACAGAGCTTTATTATAAATATCGAGTGCTTCCTGTAGGGTTCTCTCAGTTATGTAGAGTGCAAGAACTTCCATAAGCCCCAGCTCCTCCCATAGACCTTCCCAAATGCTGTGTTAGTCTTTATTGTCAGCCTAGTGTGTTTGATACAGTACTTCATTGTAGTATGTTGCATTTCCCTAATGGCTAATGATGTTGAGTGTTTTTCCATGTGTTTGTTGTTCATTTGTTTCTCTTTTTTGGACAAATGTTTATTCAAATCCTTTGCCTCCTCGCCTTTTTTTTAAAGAATAGTTCATTGATTTTAGAGAGAGAGGAAGGGAGAAGAGAGAAACATGATGCGAGAGCACATCAGTGGGCTGCCTCCTGCACCCCCCCTACAGGGGATCAAGCCTGCAACCTGGACATGTGCCCAGACCAAGAATGGAATCAGCAACCTTTTGGTGCACGGATGCCGCCCAGCCAACTGAGCCACAAATGCCAGGGCCCTTTGCCCATTTTTAAATTGGATTGTTTGTCTTTTTATTGTCGTAAGAGTTCTTTGAATATTCCATATAGTAGACTCTTATCAGACATAATATGCGAATGTTCTCTCTCATTCTGTAGGTTGTCTTTTTACTTTGTTGATAATGTCCTTTGACGTACAAAGGCTTAAATTTTTACGAAGGTCATTTTACTTATTTTCATATTTGTTGCTTATCTTTTGGTGTCACATCTAAGAATCCATTGCCAAATTCAACGTCATGAAGATTTACTCCCAGGTTTTTTACTTAAGAATTTCACAGTTTTAGCTCTTATTTTTAGGTCTTTGATCTGTTTTGAGTTGATTTTTTAAAATATGTTTGTATTGCTCTGGCCAGTTTTGCTCAGTAATTAGAGTGTTGGCCTGTGGACCAAAGGGTCACAGGTTCAATTCCACTGTCTAAAAAAATATATGTGTGTGTGTGTATGTACGTGTGTGTGTGTTTTATTGATTTCAGAGAGAGGAAGGAGAAGGGGAGAGAGAGAAACATCCATGAGAGAGAAACATTGATTGCCTGCCCCCTGTACGCCCATACTGGGGATCGCGCCCGCAACCAGGGCATGTGCCCCGACCGAGAATAGAACCGGTGACCTCCTGGTGCGTGCAGCTGAGTCGCATGTGGTATAATGTAGGAGTCCAGCTTCATTCTTTTGCATGTGGATGTTCAATTTTTCCAGTACCTTTTGTTGAAAAGACTTTTTTTCCCCCACCGAAAGGTCCTGACACCCTCTGTGAAAAATCATTTCTGTGATGGATAAAGAAAAAGTGTATATTATTCATCCATAAACAAAGAAAGAAATCCTGCCATTTGTAACAACATAGACGGACCTTGGGTGTATTATGCTAAGTGAAATAAGTCAAAGAATTACAAATACTGTATGATTTTACCTATATGTGGCATTTAAAAAAAAAAAAAAAAGCCAAACTCATAGAAAACAAAGTAGAATGGTAGTTGCCAGGGGCCGGGGAATGGAGAAAATGGGGAAATGTTGGTCGGAGGGTACAAACTTCCAGTTAGAAGATTGTAAGTTCTGAGGATCATCTGATACATCATCGTGACTATAACTAACAATACTGTATTATGTAAGAGGGTAGATTTAAAATGTTCTCACCACACACACAAAAATAGTAATCTTGAGAATTGATGGATTTGTTGACTAATCTTTTTGTGGTTATCATTTTGCCATCATATGTGTATCAAAACATCAGGTTATACACCTTAAACTCACACAATGCTATATGTCAGTTATATCTCATTAAGTTAGGGGAAAGATCAGTTGACCATAGGTATTTGGGTTTACTTCTAGACTCATTCCTATTGCATGGATCTATGTATCTCTGTTTTTGTGGCAGTACCACAGTTTTTTGGTTAATAAAACTTAATGTCAATTGTAATTGAAAAATAAAAACATAAAATTTTGTAATAGGTTTAAAAATAGGGATGTGTGAATCTTTCACCTTTAGTCTATCCTTTTTTAAAGATTTTGGCTATTTGGGGGTCTCTTGCATTTCCATGTGAATTTTGTTATCAGTTCTTTTCTGCAAAAGAAGCAGTTGGGATTCTGATCGGGGTTAGTTACATTGACTCTCTAGACCACTTTAGGAAGCATTGCCATCTTAATATTAAGTTTTCTGATCTATAAACATGGGATGTCTTTTTCTTTAATTTCTTTTAATGATGTTTTGTAGTTTTCAGTGTATAAGTCTTCCACCTACTTGGTTAAATGTATCCCTGGGTATTTTATTCTTTATGATGCTTTTCAAACGGAGTTGGTTTTTTAATTTCCTCTTCAAATTGTTTATTGCTAGTGTGTAGAAATGTGATTTTTGTGTGTGGATCTTGTACCTTGCAACTTTGGTGAATTTGTGTATTAGCTTTGATAGTTTTTTGTAGAATCTATAATATTTTCTATATGTAGTATCATGTCATTTGTTAATAGAGATCATTTTACTTCTTCCTATCCATCTGGATACTTTTATTTCTTTTTTTGTGAGTAATTGCCTTGGCTAGCACATCCAGTACAGTGTTGAATAGCAATGATGAAAGTGGGCATCCTTGTGTTGTTCCTGATCTTAGGGGAACATTTTTAGTGTCTCACTAAGTATATGATACTAGCTCTGCGTTTTTCATAGTTAACCTTTATCAGTAAGGAAGTTCCCTCTATTTCTAGTTTTCTTGGGTCATTTTATCATGAGACATTGACTTTTTAAAGGCTTTGGCTTTTTAATACAGAAACTTTTGATCATGTGTTTTATTCTGACCAGTGTTGATTCCTAAAGAAAAGCCCCCAATCACAGTTGTTGGTGATGTGGGAGGAAGGATCGCCATCATTGTGGTACGTAAACTTCTTTCATTATTAATTGTTTAATTTACCATGTTATTTTTTAACATATTTGTTAATTGTGTGGGGTTAGTGCTATGTCCAGGTACATCTCATTTGAGTTGTTGCCTTGCACTAAATGTTGATGTTGGTCCAAAAATAGAAAATTGTTATCATTAGTATATTAAGAAATCGTTAAATACTTTGTTAACTAAATAGTGTGCAGCTGTTTGTTATAACATGAGAAATTGTTTTGTGATCAAAATAGAATTAAACAAAATTGATTATGACTATTTAAGACACACATCCTCTCACACTTCAGCAAACCAGTGTACAAAAGGAATACATTTAATGCCTATATAGTTTAAACAAGAATAAAGTAAACACATGGGTACTCCCTACTCCGCTTGGAAACAGAATCTTGTCGAGTAAGGGCCCTTGCAGGGCCTCGGGGCTTTTCCCTGGTCTCTCTCCTCTCTTACCCCCAGAGGTTGCCACCACCCTGAAGGTTGTCACTCATGCCCTTGCTTGTCCTTTTATTCTACCATGAGTATGTGTGTCCCTAAACACCATACTGTTTTGTTTTGTATGGTTTTGATGTTTATATAATGAAGTTTGTATACTTTGTGACTTGTTGTTCTCACTGTTTTTGAGATTTCTTTGTGTAGCACATTATTCTTTTTCACTGTACAGTGAGTCATGATATAACTATTACACAATTTATTTGTTCTCTGGGCATGGAACATACATTTTTTTCTATTCCCACATAATACTGCTTTGAACATTCTTGCACTTGTTTTCTGGTGCAAGACTTTCTCGGTGGAGAAAGCCTGCAAGTGGAGTTGTTCAGTTTGAAAATGCACATGCTTCCAACTTGACTAGGTGTGCCACACTGTTCCCACAGCGGTCGCACCATTATCATGCCTCCAGAGTGGGAGTGCTTGTTATTTTGTTAGAAAATCCCTGTCGTCACTCTATAGGGTAATAGCTGTCTATTAATTAATTTCTTAATCAACAAAATCTGTAGTAACAAAATTCAATAGCACTTTTTTCCCTTTCTACTGCAACTGCATTTAAAAAAATTTGTAAACCTTTTTATTTTGAAGTAAGTATAGATTCATAGGAACTTCAAAAACAAACAATAAATAAGGAGGTCTTGCATACTCTTTACCCAATTTCCTGATTTTTGCTTAACTGTGGTATAGTAACACAATCTAGAAATTTATATTGCCACTCCATAGAGCTGCTTCAGACAGCACCGGGGTTATGTGTCTGTAGATCTGTGCAGTCTTATCACACATGTAGCTTTGTGCAACCGCCACTGCAATCGGTACGGAACTATCTCATCACAAAGCTCCCTCGTTCTACCCCTTTTTACACCCACCTCCTCCCCACTTGATCCCTAACTCTTGTGTGTCCTCTGTCTCTATATTCGAGATTTCAAGAAAATCTCATCAGTGGAATATACAGTATGGAACCTTTTGAGATGGACGTTTCTTGCTCAGCAGGATTGCTGGAGAGCATCTAGGTTTGTCTGTCGATAGCACTTTCCTTGCCGAGCAGCTCTCCCTGCCTGTAGCCCGCAGCTTGTTGAGGCACTCACCTGTTGAAGGAAACTTGGATGTTGCCAGCTTTTCGCTATTAGAAATAATGCTGCTCTGCACATGTGTGTATGGGTTTTTGTGTGTGTGTGTTTTTTTATCCTCACTCGAGGACATTTTTCCATTTTTTGTTCAGATAGAGTGGAAGGGGGAGAGAGAGAGAGAGACAGAAACATCAACATGAAAGGGACACATCGAGTGGCTGCCACCCGCACAACCCAACCAGGGCCCTTAGCGGGAACCCAACCCGAGTCTCTCTGGACCGCAGGCCAACACTCTAACTGCTGAGCCAAAATGGCCAGGGCGGTGTGTATGGGTTTTTTGTGTGAACAGAGTTTTGATTTTTCTGGGATAAATGACCAAAAGTGCAGTTGTTGGGTTTCATGGTAATTGCAAGTTTAGTTTTATAAAAACCTGTCAAACTATTTTTCAGAGTGGTTGTACCATTTTCCCAGTAATGCTTTTAAAATAATATATATATATATATTTTTTTTTTCTTTGATCATAGTAATATCAATATATATTTGAGAAGAGTTTTGTACACACACACATATACACACTGGGTGGGCAAAAGTAGGTCTACAGTTCATATGGAAAAGAATACAATAATAAATAATGCAAAAATAAACTCTGTGTTTCACATACTCATAGCTGAAAACCTATTCTTGCCCTACCCTGTATATAAAATACATGAATATTTATTCAACCCTAGGCAATGCTTGATACCCTAATGAACTTAAAATAACTGGTAGGCTGGGTATAATAGGAAAGAATCTGTTATCCTCCTCTGTGTTTCTCTCCTGTGTATGTTCTTTACTGTTCACATAAAACACTTCACTTCTGGTAACTGGATGTGTGGAGATTTTTCCCCACATCGAGTAATTCTCTGCTACAGTTTAACTCAGACACTATCTACCTGGAGACAGTGTCAGATCCCACAGGTTAAGGGCTCAGTCCCAGGAGACTGCCCCCACCCCATTTCAGATGCTGTTCACAACTAATAGGTTACCCACAACTTCTATACAACTGGTTGCAGATTGGAGGTTCCCATGACCCCCTCATTGGTTGGATTACTTTGCTAGAGCAGCTAACAGAACTCAGGGAAACACTTATGTTTATAAGTTCATTAAAGGATATGATAAAGGACACAGGTGAAGAGATACATAGGGTGAGGGCTGGGAGGGTCCCGAGCACAGGAGCTTCTGTCCTTGTGTAGTTGGGGTGCATCACCCCTCAGTGTGGATGTGTTCTCCATCCTGGAAGCTTCCAGAACCCCATTCTTTTAGGATTTTCATGCAGCTTCCTCATGTAGGCATGATCGACCATTAACTCCATTTCCAGCCTCTCCCCTCTCTGGAGAAGGGGGCAGGGTGGAAAATTCCAAGCTTCTAATCATGGCCTGGACTCTGGTGCCCAGCCCCATCCAGGAGCCACCCAGGAGCCCACCCAGATTCTCCTCATTAGAACAAAAGGCAGCCCTACCACCCAGGAAATTGCAAGGGTGTCAGCGATGGGGTCAAAGGCCAATTATTAGAATAAAAGTTGCTGCTGGTGCTCTTACCACTTAGCAGTTTACCAGGGTTTCAGGGGGCCTGAATATTTTTTTTTTCTCTTATCCTCACATGGGAATCTGTGATCCATAGATTAGAAACCTCTGAAAGGGTACATTGTTAATAATTAGTGTTTTTTTGCATTATGAAAACGTAAAAAGCATGTTTCCCATGTGCCCAGTAGAGAAAATTTGGAAAATAAGAAAAGAGGAAAGAACCACCCAGACTCAAAGCATCTTTTAAGTTTTACTGTGTGTGTGTTTTTTCTTTATTGACTTTAGAGAGAGAGGAAGGGAGAGGGAGAGACAGACAGAAACATCGATGAGAGAGAACATCGATTGGCTGCCTCCTGCGCGCCCTGCACTGGGGATCGGGCCCACAACCTGGGCATGTGCCCTGACTGGGAATCGAACCAGCGACCTCTTGGTACATAGGTCGACACTCAACTACTGTGCCACACTGGGCGGGCTACTGTGTATTTAAAAAAAAAAACTAGTGAACATATATACGGTACACCTGCATGGTGCGCACCCAGTCTGGACATAGGGATGCAGAGTGGAGTCCCGGGAGCACCACGTGTGAGAGAGACGCCTGAGCAGGACAGGGCTGCGGGAGCCCTGCTGTGCCTGGCCTGGAGGGAATGCAGTGGGGGCAGCCCTGGCTGAGTTGTCTGGACATGTTGACACGGAACAGCAAACTCATTATCATAGAATTAGACCCTTTCTTTTGCCTGGTTGTCTAAACCCTTTACAAAAGTGTTCATGTACATTTTGCTTAATCTGTAATTTGACAGGATGGCATCATCGATGATGTTGACAGCTTTCTTGCTGCAGCGGAGACCCTGAAAGAAAGAGGTGCATATAAGATCTTCGTGATGGCAACTCATGGCTTGTTATCTTCTGATGCTCCCCGACTGATTGAAGAATCTGCCATCGACGAGGTAACAGAGCCAGCCTGTGTCAGGCATACCTGCCTTACCCTGCCCTTCCAGCACCTCCTGATCTGTAGTTACAGAGAGAGGTGAAGAAGGAGCTGTTCTGTACTTACGAATGGATTAAAAATGTGGGTTATGTTTGTGTTTCATTAACTGTAAGCCTCTGTCTTTTGCTCGTAGTAATAGTTAGTAGTTCTAATAACATTCATAAATGGGGCACATAGTCTGTGCTGGCACTGCCGGCTGCTGTGCACACAGCTCTGCAAGGGCCACGTCAGCACCCCTTTTAGAGAGGAGAAATTGTGCATCAGGAAAGGTAAGTGACTTTGGCCAGACAGTTAGTAGGCTGAACACTTGGGTTCAGACCTTAGTTTGCCTGATACCAAAGCCCGTCTCTCTCCCTAGTACTGCTGCCGTGACATGAAATTGGAAGAGGAAGGCCAGCAGGCGATTTTCCTCAGCTGCCTCTGGCTCCCATGTGGCAGAGGGAAGGCTGTCCAGGTTTACTGGCCCTGCTTGGTGCACCTCCCTTATTCTAAAGGCAGCCAGGAAACGGGAATATTGATCGTATAAGTCACATTTTTATTATCTCTTAAGTAGAAGTGCTGTTCCTGTAGCTTCCTGGGTATTGAATCTTAAATTAGACTCCTTTTACTTTTCCAAGTCTCACATCGGTTTTGTTTTTTCAATATGTTTTTATTGATTTTTTTTTTTTTTAGAGAGAGAGAGGAAAGGAGAGAAAGATAGAAACATCGATGTGAGCAAGAAATATTGATCGGCTGCCTCCTGCACACCCCCTACTAGGGATCGAGCTCACAACCCAGGCATGTGCCCTGACCGGGAATTGATCTGGGGGACCTCTGAGTCCATGGGATGGCGCTCAATCTACTGAGCCACACCAGCCGGGCCCAACTGCCACATCTTTACTCTTTACATTAGATCTCCTGAGCCTGGCCCTATGTTTATCACCTTGGATGGGCTCAAGATGCCTTAGTACAGACCAAAGGCCAGACTTGCATGGCTCTGATCAACCCAGCCTCCTCACTTAGCCAGACAAAATGGACTAAGAACCCAGATGACATGAGAGGCATTTAGGGAGGCACAATGAACAGTACTGAATTCACTAAGTAAAGTGACAAGACTTCAGGCCCAGGGCATCTCTCACTGGTCTGTCCACATGGAGTAGGTGGGATTCTCGGGTGCTCGTGCAGGTCAGTTAGCAAGGGCAGAGCAGATGCAGGCGGAGAGGGCAGAGCTGGAGCCAGGCCTCTGAGAGCAGAATGGACTTGGGAGGGAAAGCAGAGAGCCCGCAGGGCAGGTGGGAGTTACCAGTGGAAGCCCTTCCGTGGAGAGGCCGCCCTGGCCGTGCCTTTGCGCCCCTGGGAGCCCTCTCATGGGTGTGCATAGCGGAGTCGGGCAAGTGACCCGCAGGAAACCGGGCTCCTGTGTTCACTCGGGTTAGGAAGCAAAGGGTTTTCATGTAAACTTACACACCAAATACAGTTGAACAGTAAATTATAAAAGTTTTGGACGGTGTAAAAGCAATGGCAGGATCAGCAAGTGAGGGGAGGTGGGTGTTGAGAGGAGTGGAAGGAGGCTGATGGCCCTTCCTTCAGAGTAGGAGCCAGTCGTTAGTGCTTGGAGTTGATACGTGATTATTTGAATTGTTTCTGTTTCCTTTTTAGAATTGAAAGTAGTTAACATGAAGTGCCCAGAATGGCATCGACAGACGCAGTACCCAGTGGGTGCCAGGGGCTTGGGAAAGGGGGAACGAGGAGCGGCAGTGAAGGTGTGCGTGTCGGGCTTCCTTTGGGGGAGATACTGAACACAACTCTGAATCTCTAAAAACCTGGGACTGTACACTTTAAATGGTAGATGGGGCTGTTCCCAGAATACAGCATCACGGTTTTCAGTGCTTGCGAGAAAACTGATGGGAGGAAGCGGCAGTACTTGATTTGCATGCACAGGATAAAATTCTTTGTCTACCTTAAAAAGTGGGCGAATTGTATGGTATGTGAATTCTATCACAATAAAGCTGTTACTTTTTAAAAAATGGTTAGAGTAAATTTGGAAAATCCGTTGCCCATGAGGGTGATTATTTAGTGAGAACACCCTCCAGGAGCCGCGGTGCACACAGCGCAGGCTCTGCCCTGCCCCTGTCACTGCACACTGATTCTGTGTGGAGGGTGCGGTGGGCTCCGTTTGATACCAGTGGGAGGTATTTCTTTTCCCTCTGGAACTGTTCTTTGTACAGGCAGTGAGGCTTATGTAACCTTTTATGTTTCCGTTTTTGTTTAGTTACCAAGAAGCTCAAATGCCAAATGGTGAGTGGGCGATGCTGCTAGACCAGGCTTTCCTGTTCCCGGTGCTGGCTCTGAGTGGGCTCTCACTGTTCTGGGTCAGCAGCCTCCTCTGGTGTGCTCTTTACTCTGCACTGTCTCCAGTTTTATTTTGGAAGAAGGGAATAAAAATGATAAATAATAATAAAAATTATTCCCATCCCGTTTTTTGTTTTTTGTTTGTAAGAAGCTGTTTTTTCCCATGTGTTGTAGCTATTAAAAAGGGCTTTTCTCCTTTTCATTTTTATCAAATATTAACTTTTTAAAATAACAGCTTTATTGAGATATAATTCACATCCTGTACAGTTCACCCACTTAAAGTACGTATAATTCAGTGATATTGAGAACATTCAGAGAATTGTACAGCCAGCACCACCATCAGTTTTCAAACACTTCACCCTCCTAGAAGACCTCCTGCTCATTAGCAGTCACTCTCCATTTCTGCTCAGTCCACTCAGCCCTGGGAGCCACTTTCCTTAATCTACTTTCTGTCTCTGTAGATGCACATGATCTGGACACTTTATATGAAAGGAATCATACAAGACTGGTCACTTTCTGTCTGGCGTTTTTACTTAGCATAATGCTCACCCATGTTGTAGTGGGTGTCAGTACTTCATTTCATTTTGCTGAATTGTATAGAAAGAACACATTTTTATCTCTTCGTGGAAATTTGGATTGTTCTACTTTCTGACTATCATGAATCATGTTAAGAGCATCTGTGTACAAGCTTTTGTAGGAACATATATTTTCATTTCTCTTGGGTGTATACCTAGGAGTAGAATTGCAAGGTCATATGGTAACTCTATGTTTAAACTCTTAAGAAACTGCCAGACTGTTTTCCAACACAGCTGAACTATTTTCCGTTCCTATCAGCAATGTAGGAGTGCTCCAGTTTCTCCACATCCTTGACACCACTTTTTATTTTCTCACTTTTTCCTATAGCTGTTCTAGTGGGTGTAGGTTTATCAAATCTTACTCCAAGAAACAAAGGTAGTGTTCACATTGACTAAAAATACTGTTGAAGTTATGGTAGACCCACTGTCCTCTTCAGAGATTTGAGAATGTATCAGATTCCAGATCACACCAGAAAGTTACTTGGTTTTATGATGCTCTTGGTTTTTTTCTCTTGATTCAAAGGTGGTGGTTACCAATACAATTCCACATGAAATCCAGAAGCTCCAGTGCCCCAAAATTAAAACTGTGGATATCAGCATGATCCTCTCAGAAGCCATCCGTCGGATTCACAACGGGGAGTCCATGTCCTACCTGTTCAGAAACATAGGCTTAGATGACTGAGGAGCTTCTCTTCTTTAAAACTCCCAAGGGCCAAACTGGAGACACGGGAACGAGGACTGTGAGAGCTCACGCCCGATGTGATGCATTTCCCAGGGGCCATTCGTATGTTTTGTTCCTTTTTGTTCATTACTATGAAGATAGATCAACTTTTTATTTTGATTTGGGTGTTTGTGAGTTTTGAGGCAAATTTTATAAAAGAAAAACTATATTCTCCTCTTAAATAAGTTAAGACCTTGTTGTTTTTAGTTTAACTATTTAAAATATACCTTGGAATAAGGTTTTTAAACTCACAAACAGCCTTTCTTCAAAATTGTTAGAGCCCAAGTGCTTAAAAAATTAATAAAATACAATGGTCTACTGTGTGATCCCTGCAGTTAAAAAGCCAAAAAACTATGCTGTTGAATCCAGTAAATGACATATTTAGAAATGCTTTTCTAGACAAGCATATGGAATATGTGAACATTATTTATTTTCTGCAAGAAAAGAAGGAATAAAAACTTACTGCGTTTGTGTGTGATTTTTTTACACTTTGTGTTTTGGCAATTGTTTTATAACTGAAATAAAATGAAAGCTGAATATACGTGCTGTGGATGTTGAAATGTTTATCACCTTGATGAAGTTTTCTCTGTGGCAGCCTTTTGGGGGACATGGGAGCCTCATAGGGATGTAATGTTCCCCGTTCTACCTGTGCAGAACCCTGCACATTCCTACATGCAGTCATTTGACTGTGGCAGGAGAGGAACTTGAATCCAAGACTGGGGAGGGTGGGGGCTGTGCTCCTTGTTTGACTGCACAGCCATTCTCCAAACAGAATTGGGGATGAGATGCTGGAGTGGGTCACAAAGAGCAGGTGATATGATTCTTGTTGATGTCAAGCATGTAAGCCTGTCTGTCCTGGAGTTTAGAACTCAACACTTGTACCTTAGTTTATCAGACTGGAACACTGAAGTCCCCTGAGTTACAGCAGGGTGTTCGTCCACGAAGGTCACGTGGCAGTCCCATTCAATTAATGGGCTAAAAACTAAAATGTTGTCACCAAGAAAAATAGTACTTTTTTCTTCCAAAAAGCCTTAAACTTTTGCTTTCTGCCTGTTTGTGGTAGAACATGGAATAGAATTGTTGACTTAGCACAGAGTTAAAGTTAGTCGCTTACTGTTTGCCATGCTGGGGTTTCTTGGCACTCCCCAGAAAGCAGTGTGACTGACGGGAGCTTCCCCTGGAGCAGCCCGGGGCCCTGTGTGCAGAGCACCGAGACCCACTTGCGGCAGCTGCCTGGAATACTGGGTGGTCTGCAGATCCCCTCCTCGCTTATCACATCTGCCAGTGCCCAGCTCCCTGCGGGCCCAGCATGGGTCACTCCTGAGGAAACCAAGCAGAGAAAGGTTTCCACACCCTTTAAGTTTTCCAATCCAGTTAATAATCGAGATGGCCATGTTGAAAATGTGTTCTTGCTTTTGAGAACCTGTTCCTAGAAATGGGAATGCAAGATCTTCACAGATGAGCTTAGGAAACATCCTAGTGATAGCTGCTTTGGCCAGTGCAGCTCATGTTACTAGCAGGTTGTCATCATCTAACCAATTGCCACATTTGGAAGAAGAGCTTTGAGTTGTCAGGTGTCACCTTCGGTGAGAGAGGAGCCAACCCATGCCTGTTGGACCTTCTGAAATTAGTTCTCTGAAGTGGGCTGAAGCAGCTTCACAGCAAGTGTCACATCTTCAAGACTGCGATCTTGTTCCTCAAACCCCATATTTTGTCCCTTTTGGCACCATATTACTGTTGAGCTCATTCAGTAGCAAATTTCCTCTAGTGGTTGTGTCCCATGAGGTTTGACCTGCATGGTTTTTCTTAATGTGTCATGTTCCATGAAGAAAAGTCAAATGTATAGAAGAGAAATGAATGAAAAAGTTTTCTTCTGTGTGATGAACTTGTAAAACTGGCTCTGGGCCTTTCAAATCCACAGAGACTTGGGTGTGTGCTCAGAGCTGGCTCTGGGGGGATGTGAAGAACACCTGAAAGAACCCACCATGAAGTGGGGGTTGAGACCCAGGCACTCGGCAGGCCTTAGAGAGTGAAGGTGCCTGGAGAAGAAACAGCTATTCCACGTAAGGATTAGGAAAATAGGTGGAGAAGCTCAGAGATGTGGTAAGTGTCACGACATAGCCCATCGTGGCTGGAGAAGGAGAAAAGGTGCTCAGGTGGGGGTGCAGGATAGAGGCCTTTCAGGGAAAGTGTAAGAGGTTGGGCTTTGCTGTGTTAGGAGCACAGGGTTCTGAGGGCCAAACAGCACAGAAAAATAAGTCTCACCTGAGCCCCTCAGTCACCTAGGTCCCCTCCCAGAAAAAAACAAAAATCAGGGTTACCAGAATTTTGTGTACTGTAGGCTTTTCCTGTGCCAGAAAAGTACCCTCCAAACTACTTACTGTCTCCACTTAATCAGCCAGAAAAATGGGGAGTTGAGCTTAGAAATTTCTATAACAGAAAAACGCTCACAGTGTCTAATTTTGATTGATTATGATGTCACCACTCGCAGACAGATGTGGGTCAGAACTATGCTCTTGGAATTAATGCATGTATAAATGAACACTGATTCGGCCACTACTGTGTGCCAGAATGGTATTCATTTGGTTCTCATAATTTATTATATCCAAAGCCCCAACACTGACTCAGGAAGCGAGGATTCAGACGGAAGCATCCTGCTTCACAGCACGATGCTCTTTCCAGTCATTTCAGGCATATCCCAACTCGGGTGAGAAAGCACTAAGACGTCTCTTGCTGACCTTCAGGCTGCACAAACAGGAAGTGAGGGCTAAGACAGAGCTGTGAACTGCCTGGCTGAGTGCTGAAGGCCTGTTCCCAGACGCACACAGACCATCTGTAGGCTAGGAGAGAGATTTTTTCTTTTTTTGGGTTTCAGGCTTTTAAGGAAGTCTGTGATGACCCTGGTTGACTATTCAGTTAACAGACTTCAATGGCTACAAACAAACACTACAGACTTTACAAAATTAGTTCAGAAAAACCACCACACAAACATAACTACAAGCAACAATAAACCCTGGGGAGCTCCCATAAGACTGTCAGCTGATTTCTCAAAAGAAACTTTGCAGGCCAGAAAAGAGTGGGCAAGGAGATATTCAAAGTGATGAAAAGCAACGACCTACAACCAAGATTGCTCTATCCTGCAAAGCTATCATTTAGAATCTATGGACATATAAAGATATTCCCAGACAAGAAAAAACTAAAGGAGTTCATCACCACCCAACCAGTATTAGAGGAAATGCTGAAGGGTCTTCTTGGAGAAGAAGAACATCAAAAATATGAACAATAAAATGGCAATAAATACATATCTATTAGCAATTGAATCTACAAACCAAATGAACAAGCAGAACAGAGGCAGACTTAGATACAGAGAACTTTTGGTTGGTTGCCAGATGGGAGGGGATTGAGGGGATGGACAAAAAAGGTGAAGGGATTAAGAAGTACAAATTGACCCTGGCCGGTTTGGCTCAGCGGTTAGAGCGTCGGCCTGCAGTACAGAGGGACCCGGGTTCGGTTCCCGCTAAGGGCACGTACCTCGGTTGCAGTTTGTCCCCGGCCCTGGGTCCTCGTGCGGGTGGCAACCACTCGATGTGTCCCTTCACATCGATGTTTCTCTCTCTCTCTCTTCCTCTCTCTCCCTCCCGCTCTGTCTGAACAAAAAATGCAAAAATGTCCTCGGGTGAGGATAAAAAAAAAAAGAAGTACAAATTGGTTGTTAGACTGACCAATCTCAGAGGGGGGGGGGGCGATACAGGAAGAGTTAAACCGAAGAACTTACATGCATATAGGCATAACCAATGGACACAGACAATAGTGTGGGAAGGCAGGAGGGCAGTGGGAGCAGGGAGGAGTGGATGAATGAGGGGAAAAGGGGGACATCTGTAATACTTTCAACAATAGGGATAAATAAAAACTTGTAAATATACTAAAAACCAGTAAGTTGTTCACTTAAAATGGTTAATTTTATGTTATGTGTATTTTATCACGATTAAAAATAAAAGAATTGGCTTCTGGGACTTAAAGGCTTAGAGACCTTGGCATTTGAAGACCCCTCAGTCACCAGGCATCCTGCAGAGATGTGAAAAAGAACAGACGAGAGCACAGGCAATTACCAAGCAATGCAACGACATAGCCCATGAATCAGACAGGTACAGGGATGCACAGAAGGATGACAGCTCAGCACAGCACTGAAGGGTGACTAAAGTTCACCAGTAGACCAAATAGTAGAAGGACATTGAAGTTGGATGTATAACAGTCTGGTTGGTGTGAAGTTGGGAGCAACAGGAAATGGAGCTGGGCAGGTGCTGGGCCCAAGGTCTAACACTTGATCTTGTGAGTAATGAAGGTCACTGAAAGGTAACTTTTAAATAGGTGTACCATGTCAAGGATTAGATTATTAGGTTGTTCCGACATCTTGTGCTCCGTAGAGCTTCTCTATTCAATGGTAGAACACAGTTAAAAAATGGCCCATGACAGGGAACTGAAGAAGGGTTGGGGTGCCCCTGGGGTCTGGTGGAGAAAGTGATCATCTCTCCCCACCCCACAGCCCCCTTCCCCCCTATTAACAGGTTGGTGCACCTCCACACCCTTCTGAACACTGTGGTCATTTAGACATACTTTTTTTTGTACATGGTTTGGGGGGTAAGTATACATACTTTCTGCAATTTGCATTTTTCACTTAAAAGTGTATCATCCTCGGAGAACTGAAATGGCGGCAAAGTGAACAGAGCGACACAGACCATCTCCCAGGACCAAACTGGATTTACAATGAAAATAAAGGCAAATTGTCAGGAAGGGACAATCAAAAGACACCTTGAAGGACCACATAATCAGAAACACCAACTCAATCCTGGTAGGCTTGTGAGGACGCGAGAGGGGGCCGGAGCCCACGGTCCACAGCGGCCTGGGCAGGGACCAGGGAACTCGGCGGGAAGTTACTGCTGCCGCCTCCCTTGCGACCCTGCATGGGTCCTGGGAACTCTGTTGCCTGCTAAGCCCTCGGCGGGTGCCGCACAGACTCGCGGGGACCAGGGGACTCAGCGGGACGCTGCTACCAAGGCTGAGTCCCACGAACTCTGCTTGCTAAGCCCTCGGCTGGTGCCGCACAGACTCGCGGGGACCAGGGGACTGTGCTGGAAGCTACTGCCACCTCTGCAGTGTCCCGCTACTGTG